TGGTAGTATTCAATAATACTAGTCTTTCCTCAACCCCCAAGTTAGACAAAGATGTTTAGGAAAAGAGCTACCTTTACAAACAAAGATATAAAAATTCTTAAGAAAAATTTACACAATTGAATTTAATACATGTGAAAAGTTACTTGCATCATGATCAACTGAAGTTGTTTCCAGAAATGGAAGTGTTATTTACCCTTCAGAATGCAAGCCCTGTAATACACCATATTAACAAACTAAAAAAGGAAAAATGTATAATAGATTCAGAAAATGCATTGGAAAATTTGCAAAATTTGATAAAAATTCTCAGTTAACTAGGAATAGAGCAAATTATTCTCAGGCTTACCCACACTAGCTGGTTGATCCTGCATCTTGGTAAGCTGAGGCCACTAGGAGGCCCAGGTTGCGGTCCCACCCTAGAAAACCAGGCATGGTGGTAAATACCCATAGTCCTAGATGCTCAAGAGGCTGTGGCAGGAGGATTGCAACATGGAACTACCATATCTTTAAAAAAAAAAGGCATTATGAATTTTAATAGCAAAAAATACTGGTTATTTTTCTCCTAAGCTCAGGAACCAAGGATGTCTATTTTTGGCACTTCTGTTTAACATGGAACTATAGTTTCTAGACAGAGCAGTTAGGTAAAAATAAATAAATAAATAAATAAAAGAAATCAAGATTTTAAGGAAGTAAAACTACCATATCTTTAAAAAAAAAAGGCATTATGAATTTTAATAGCAAAAAATACTGGTTATTTTTCTCCTAAGCTCAGGAACCAAGGATGTCTATTTTTGGCACTTCTGTTTAACATGGAACTATAGTTTCTAGACAGAGCAGTTAGGTAAAAATAAATAAATAAATAAATAAAAGAAATCAAGATTTTAAGGAAGTAAACTCTATATTTACAGACAATATAATCACTATTTAGAAAATTTGACAGAATATCTAAAAAAGCTATAAGAGCTAGTAACTGAATTTAGCTGAACTACAGGATATAAGTCTTACATACAAAATTCAGTGCTTTTGCCTTTACATATTAGCAATGAACAAATGGAAATTAAACATTTAAAAGTACTATTTAAAATATCATAAAAACAGAAATACTTAGTGATAAATCTGACAAACTGTACATGACTTGAACACATGAAATCATACAATATTGTTGAGAGAAGCAAATAGGGCATATGGTGTCCATGGATCAGACATAATATTATGAAGATGTCACTTCTCTCCAAAGTGATCTGTAGATTGATTCAATTCTTATCAAAAGTCCCTTTTTTTTTTGTAGACATGAACAAGCTAATTTTAAAATCCATATGGAAATGCAAAAGACTTCGAAGAGCCAAGATATTTTTTTAAAACTAGCAATGGAGGAATAATTCACTGTCAGAGCAGACCCAGTGGACAGACGTGGAATCCAAGTGCTTGGGACTCCATCCTCCTCAGACCTTCCTTAGAATATCAACAGGCACACAGTGTTTGTCTTCCCTAGCCTGGCTTACTTCATTTGGCATCAAATCTTCTATATATGTCAGCTTTGAAGCCTTGTGCACTACAGAGATGTACAATGATTAAATGTAAAATATTTTGGAAAAAAATAATAGCAAAAGAAGCTTCCAGAATTTGTGGGTGGCCTCAGCCGTGTACGAAGGACTGTCTATGCAGAATTCTTGCGTGAGCTAGAAGTTCTGAGTCACTGCTCAGACAGATACTGTGGGGTTTTAGGGAATCGCAGCTGAAAAAGATGGATCGCCCCTTTGTTATTTCTGCAGAATATGTCACTCAGTGAATGTCACTATTGACCTCCTGACTGAAAGACACTGGAAAAGAACTATACTCTTAAGAGATCTAAGTATTCCTGAACTAGACCTAGGTGGGCAACAATGCTGTTTTCTACTAGTGCAGTAAGACAAGACAGATCATTTGTTTTTGGAAAAGAAAAACAAAATTTATATTTTATAAGATAATGTAAGTTTATGCCTATAAAACACAAGAGAATCAAATGGAAGTTAACAGCATTTATTAATGTATGCATAAAGGTTGGATAGAGTTTAACGAAAATTAGTTGTCTGTACTTGATAAAGAGATTCTGAATGTAACTCGAACTACATTGTACATAGTTCATTGAAATAGCCTTTCCAAATAGTGTTGTGGTTTATAATAATTAAATATGCCTTATACTAAATGGATAATCAGTATCAGAGGCCTGGGTAATGTGATAGGTTCATTTGAAGAAATATTAATTCAGGGGGCTTCGAAAATTAGTTGTCTGTACTTGATAAAGAGATTCTGAATGTAACTCGAACTACATTGTACATAGTTCATTGAAATAGCCTTTCCAAATAGTGTTGTGGTTTATAATAATTAAATATGCCTTATACTAAATGGATAATCAGTATCAGAGGCCTGGGTAATGTGATAGGTTCATTTGAAGAAATATTAATTCAGGGGGCTTTGTTTCTTCAAAGTCCATCCCACGGAGACCTCGTATCTCCATATAGGTGAGACATCTCTGTCAGCATGAAAGACTCATGGAACTGCAACTTTCCTTTTCCAAAACTAAGTGCTTTGGGAATCAGGCCAGTTTTTCTGCTTATTTTCATAAAAATCTTGATAACTAAGACATACATTAGTTCTGGAAGAAAATGCTTTCCCTCTCTTTAGTTAAACTAATCAATAATAATAATAATAATAAAAGGAAAACCTAAGGGCAATTTCGATATTTTCTGCACTTAGGGGATAGAAGGTATAAAGACCTTGAGAAGAACAGAAGCTCTTTGAACCAGACCAGGTCAGAGGTGACGTCCACTCTTGCCAGAAACTCACACAGTAAGAGTCTGCCAACCCCCGAAGGGAGGATGTTTAATTGGTAAGATGTTTATCTAGAAGAGACAACATGCTGATTATCCCCTGAGCACGGAAGCTGCTTTTTGTGACTTGCCATAATCACTAGCAAGTTAAGGATTGATTCGTCTAAGACAGTGTGAATCTCATCAGAGAACTGTCCCTTTGGGGATGAAAGACCACATTAACTACTAGAAGAAATTAGAAATGTAGCTAATCATTCCTTGCATGAGAAATTTTCAGACTTGTGTGTCACAGCTGTTTATTTTGGAAATTTATTTTATAAATGATGGCCCATTAAATGCAGAACCAGCTTTATTTAACCAGATGTGCCTGGGTAAAATTTGGAGTATTGATTATAATGTCAAAACCCTTAGCCATGAGGACTCTAGGGCCAATGCAGTTATCTCCTGAGATATCAAAACAACTGTAGGTTTAATTTAAGAAGAGTTTGTTTCTACCGCATATTCTTCTGTGGTTTGGTCTTCAGAAGAAAAAGAGTTATACTGCTTATTAAGGACTAAAGACTGAGAGTTTCCTTAAACCTTTAATTTTGCCTTATGAACCAAAACTTAGTTGTAAAATTGGGTAAGTAGCAAAAATTAATAAAACTTCCATATTTTATTGTTGGACACTTTAGAGTGACTGCAATGTATTTAAAGTCATGGTTTCATTTTCCTTCATTCTTCAGCTTTGGTTCAGATTGCCTTAGTCATGATTGAAATAGTTGATTTTTCATGGTTTTGTAAAAGACTTCATACTCTATAAATCATGAATCAACAACATAGTTTTTGTAATAAACCTAAGCATATCACTCTGACTTTCCAACTCAGTTCTAGTCAAACTCTACACAGGAAAAAATCTGTTTCTATCAGAAACCCCAAATTAAAATGTACTGCTGCTATGTCTTTATATGACTCAGTATCAGAAATTAGTGAAGAATGTTCTTTTTTTTTAGCAGAACAGTCCAGATCTCCAACCATATTTCCCTACATTTTCCTACATTTCTTCAGACCTTTTTATTCTTTTTCTCTTTGAATACATAATTTCTTGGACAACTAATCCACTCTTTAATGAAAAAAATAGTGTAAGCTCTAGAATAATAGAAATCCTAGACATAATAAAAATAGCTTAAGACTATGTTTGCTTGTGTTTTTTTTCTTTTTTCTTTTTCTTTTTTTTTTTTCTTTTAGAAACACATGCATTGTTGTCTTCTAATAATTATACTATGGTATGCAGTGCAGAACTAAAACTCAGGGGCCAGCAGGTGGTGTAGTGGCTAAGGGTGCTGGACTCCCACATGGCCAACCATGGTTTGAGTCCTGAATCTGGTGGCTTGCATTCTCACTTTCCCTCTCTCTCTCTCTTTCTCTCTGGTCAAACTGGAATGGATGAATAAATAAATAAAGTTACATTTAAAAAATTCTAAAAAATCTAAGAACTAAAACTCAAATGCCAAAGATACAGACTAGTCCTTTTTACTATTTAAGTGGAGTTTTTCTTGAGTATCTTAAATATATTGTGAAATGAGTTGATCCTGCTTTAAAGGAAGGGTGAGTAACTGATTGACATCCAGGAGGAAGAAATACCAAAAACTTACAAATAGAAATAAATATAGGATAAAAGGAGTTGAGGAAAGGGATGTTACTCTGGCGGTTACTGCATTAGATTGAGGTCAAATTATGCATAGGACCAGGAAGGTCTGGTGTAAGGTAGCAGGAGGAATGGAAGGCAGACCCTAGTCATGCAAAACCATTGCAGGGTTCCGGCATATTCCTTCTGCTACTGACCAGGGAACTGTAGGAAGGTGCTTTCTCTCAGCCTTCCAGGAGGAAGACTGCTTTAGAAGTATTTGTAGTGGAAACTGGCTGGTCGTCAGAAACAGAATCTGCATATTTGGAAGTGCGTGTGTGGGGGGGGCATAGAAGGAGCATAAAACCCATATATGTATATTACAGAGAAAAAGAGAGAGGGAGAGAGAGCTTGAATAAAGACCCTGAGAGAAGCTTGCCAACACTGGATAGTTGCTACTTGGGGTATGTTTTTTTTTTTTTTTTTTTTTTTTTTATTCTACAAGTCCCATTTCAACTGACAATTGCTCCAGTAAGAGCAGCTTTGCCTCCCTTTCTGTAGGGACAGGGTCCCACATATGAGAAGACATGCCCAACAGGAGCCTGGTGACCACAGTTCTTCCTCACGGGACTTCCCCACCCCCCAGCGCTGGACACCCCGCTCTTTGGACTCTTCCTGGCGATCTACATCCTCACGGTGCTGGGGAATCTCCTCATCCTGCTGGTGATCAGGGCGGAGCTTCACCTGCACACCCCCATGTACCACTTCCTCAGCAACCTGTCCTTCATCAACATGTGGTTCTCCACCGTCATGGTGCCCAAGGTGCTGATGACCTTGGTGTCCCCGGGCGGCAGGGCCATCTCCTTTTACAGCTGCGTGGCCCAGCTCTACGCCTTCCACCTCCTGGGCAGCACCGAGTGCTTCCTCTACACGGTCATGTCCTACGATCGCTACCTGGCCATCACCTCCCCACTCCGGTACGCCAGCGTGATGAGCGCGAGGACGTGCGCCCTGCTGGCCGCCAGCACGTGGCTCAGCGGCGCTCTGCACTCTGCGCTCCAGGCCGCCCTGACCTTCCGCCTGCCCTACTGCGGGCCCAGCCAGATCCAGCACTACTTCTGCGACGCGCCGCCCCTGCTCAAGCTGGCCTGCGCGGACACCGCGGCCAACGAGATGGTCATCTTCGTCAACATCGGGCTGGTGGCCTCGGGCTGCTTTCTCCTGATAGCGCTGTCCTAC